GTAATCAGCCTCCTATCTGAAAAAATTATTTACTAATTTTATAACCAACACCCAAACTAATTGTATATGGAAATATTAATGGGGGGCTGGGGACACTGTATAAGGCTACTGTCAACCACAAACAACCCTCTAACGCTTTTGTGGGCAATTCTGGTGAAAGAGATCCCTACCTGCAGTGAAGGGCAAATGCAACCACATCTCCCAGCCCCTGAAGTACTCTCTGATTCTTCCCACGCATGTCCCCCTTTAAAAGGGCCTAAACATGTGGCACTAAGGCTGGCTTCTTGGAGAAGTCACGGAGGTTTCCCTAAGAAGTGAAGTACTGGGGCTTGCTCTCGTGTCCCAGAGTGTCACAGCAATATTCCTCTGCTTCCTCAGAGCCAGATTGAGTACTTTAGGACAGCAGGACGCTCACCACAAGCGCAGCTGGAGCCTACCACACTGCATTGCCCCAGAGAACCCGTCACCATCCCTGTACTGCACAGGGACACAGGCAGGCACGGGCAGCAGAATCCCCCTAGCACTGCAGGTCCCTCCAGTCCGAAAAAGGGGAGCAGACAAGTCACGGGCCACAGGAAATGCCTGTCTGGGGAACAGTAGGAGAACATAGGTGGGAGTGTGGCGTGGGAAAGGGGCAGGGCTGCTGCCTTCCCTGAACAAAGGCATCCTTAAAGAAAAGTTTAAATTGGTGGAGGGATCCTTGGAAATTCTTCATAATTAGCTGTGGCTGCAAGCACAGTTCTGTCCTGAGAATTGACTGCAGTAGTAATTCTGAAGTATTTTTCTAGCATTCCCTGATTGAAAGTGTACATATGACTTTTTTGTAACTGCTAACTCTAAATTCCTTGTAGCACACTGAATTCCTGCATTCATGTAGAGGAGCATCAGTTGTGCAGCCACTGAGGCCATACTTTGCATGCAGGGACATCTATGGTAGCCCACCATACATATGTAACTCAGCACAGCTTGGCACCTGGTACTGTACAAGGTATAAAGAAACACACATTGTTGTCTCCACACTACTAAAAAGCTAGAGAACTGCTGCTTCTTTAATGTTACAGTAAGAGCGTATGGCTATGAATGCACACTGCCACTACATCTGTTCGATAAGTAGGGCCCTTTTTTATATAAGCATTCAGCTTTAAGATGTCTAAAGCTTTACAGGCCATGTAGAAAAATAGGTTCCCTAAAATTCTGAATTCAGATCTTGCAATAAATCCTATTTACATTGAAAAATGCTTATTACAAGCTTTTGCAAAAAATCCTGAAAATAGCACAGATGGAGGCAAAATGATCTTTAGTCTCTCTGATGAGTGGGATGAAGTTCTGCAATCTTCCAGGGAGTAAAAGGACATTATGCTCACTGAAGGCCAGTTGTTTTCCTTTCCCAACATTAGCCTTCTTGCCCAAGACAAAGAGAAGGGTCTAATGGTTATGAAGCAAGGTTTTTGGCAGAGAAAGTGCAGACAGCTATTCCACACCCAAACATGTTATTTATGACAGTAATCAAATTACCTTGTGAACAAAAAGTCAGTACTGAAACTACTCCAATAAATTTAAGCCAATCAGGCTATAGACAACTGCTAAGATGAAAGACTGGTAACATAAGACAAGATAAGATAAGATAAAGAGATCTGTCTAGATTCTACTACAAATTAAACTCCCATCAACTCCATGTGCTTCAATCAATGAGTTTGTGTGGGTGCAGCTGATGGCTGAGCTTGGCCTAGAAACTTGGAATATTTAGTTACAACTTGATGATCTAGTTGGTCTTAACTCAGCCAAACAGAGATTCACAGGGTATTAAATTGCTGTTCATGCAATTACATGATTAGGTGATAGTTTCCAATTATGTTAACCTAGCTACAGTAGGTATGAGAATTTTTTTTTATCTCTTTCCTAAAATGACAGCAGATAGAGAAAATATTACTGTGACATGGTTCAGATTTGCAGGTTCAGTTCCCAGTTTCCCCATCCCAGAACAGGCACACACTGACTGTGCCCACAGCAGTGTTCATTCATTGTACATGAGCAGGCAGCCATTTACCAACATCTGCCGAGCAAGACGCCAGCGCAGCTGTGTTCAAGCTGGCTCGTATCCTTTTTTTGTTTGTAGATTCACTTTTCTGAGGCTGGTTAGCACAAAAATGAAGTGTCTGGGGTTGCATATTTCACTACAACATGCAGAGCAGAAGCTATTATGCAAGAGGACTACTCAGCTGTTTCTGTATGATTCTTCTCAGTTCTGGTAATCAGGGAAGGGAGCCCACAGCCTCCCTCTGTTATTTCCTTCCCGCTTCTTGTGAATTTGTAGTTAATATACACAGATGTGGTTACTGTCCCTCATTCTTTTCTATATCCCTGTCCTCAACTTCTGTTCTCTTTTTTCATTGTCCTTACAGAAAGGGGTAATATATTTCAAAAGAATGTCCTTTCCTTCAAATCTGCAAAACTTTGTCTATGCCATTTCAGAAAGCAAGTGCATACTTGTAGATCTAATTAGTTGCTTGAATGCAGACTGCACCCCAGCGTACAGAGGGCCCCAGACCAGCCCACTGCACTTGCTCCACATCTGAGCCTTATCTTTCACTAAAGCTTGCTTGATGCAACTTCTGGAACACTCCCTTTGAGAAGTCTGGAAAATGAAGGCTAGAGTAGGCTAATTCCATCTCCTCTAGACTTGTGCCCTAATCTTAGACTTGATTAATGCCAGCATACCCATTCTTACCATATTAATTAAATATATAAATACATGATGAGTAGAATTGTCTCATATGAAGTTTTTTTACAAAAAATGTGATTTCAGCTGCAAACAACTAAAATGTATTTTGTTTTGGTTTTATATCTGTAGATGCATTTATGCTTACCATTTCAATTGCTAGGTACATGACACATAGCAAGGAGAGAATGCCTAACGTAAGCCTATGTCATCCATTGCACAGCAGTTGACCGCAGCTTGGACTGTGTCTTGTAACTTTCAATTATACAGTCCAATAAACTACTGCTATCTAACACCACCCTACCCTTACCTAACCTGGCAGCTGGAACACTTTGGCACCAGACAGTGTTTTGTTTGCTTGCATGATTATAACCTCAAGGCAAGAACTGCACCTGGTTATATGACACAGGCTTGGGGCACTTTTATAACCGAAACTCCGTCTGCATCACAAAGCTGGTTAAGAACGTAATTTTATTGAGAGTTTCTGTCACATTTTGGTATTAGTTAAAACCCTTGGGGAAATAATGGAAGCAAAAGTATAATTTTGCCTGTTTCAACTGCATCTATTCTAGCAGGACTTGCTTGTTAAACCTCAAACACCAGATCTTTCTGGTACAGTCTATTTCTAAGGCAGGGGAGATTTTCCCATTACATTGCAATTTCTGAATGCGACTGCCTTGCAACTGAAAATAAGCATTTATAAATTAACTTTTATGTATTCAAATATGCATAGTTAGGAAGAGTATTTGCAATAGAGTCATTGGTGACACAGTAGAGGCCGAACACTAAAGCGAAGCAAGGAGATTAACCAAAGCAACTGCATTGGCTGAGATGGAATGATTTTATAGGAAGACAAAATATCAGATTCCCATGTACCACCAAAGGAGGAATATGAAAAAATATATATAATATCCAATTTAACATCAAAGTAATTAAGGTGCTCAGGATAAATCTAGTCACATCCCAGAAATGGTATTCAGATCACTTACACTTGCAGAGAAGCAAAATATTTCATACTATAGATATTATTTGCTGTCTTCCATAGAGTGTTGTACCCTTATTCAGCAAAGCACTTAGGCATATATTTTAAAAGGAGATTTTCAAAAACACAAATTGATTTCTGGCAGAAATGGGTCAGCTAGTCTATCTTAAACTAAAGGCCTTTTATACCTCTGAAAATCTTTCCTACCAACTTAAATAGGATCTAAACATATGCTTCAACCATAAGCAGTTGTGCTACACAGCCAGTGCTCCTTTCCTTTTCCCTAGAACATACCCTGCACTTAGTTTTTCAGAAACCTAGATGAGCGTGGCAGAGGGAGAATTAACACTTCAGGAGTATAAGTGACCACTTATTTTTAAATCTGCCTGAACTATGAAGCCACAAACATTATTTGCCTCATTTCACCAGGATTTTCCCAAAGTTCTCTTTTTTTTTTTTTTTTTTTTTTCTTGGTCCATAATAACTCCCAGATTTTCAGTGGGGTGCTGTGTGGGTGGGTGATGGTTTTTTGGTTTGGAGGTTGTTGTTGTGTGTTTAGGTGGTGGGAGCTGGTGTTGTTGTGTGGTTTTTTTTTTTTTTTTTTTTTTTTTTTTTTTTTTGTCTTGGTCCATAATAACTCCCAGATTTTCACTTCTGTTGCCTGGAGCCTTGATTCTTCTTGCATGGCTCAGAATCATTCTACCCATTCCAACTTTCTCCCTCATTTATTGTATCCATTTTAAATAAGCTATATTAAGGTCTAAACTTTTGTATTTTGATAGAGCATTATATGATATCAAGGCAGCATAATAATAACAGACACTTTCACCTCCACAAAGTTGTCTCATTTCAGAGTTCAGCATTAAACATTAAAAGCTCTTTGAACTATCTTTCACAACTTCTATAGTCATTTTTTCATTGCTTATAACAACAATCTGGAACTGAAAACTTACCATACAGAACTAATTCTCTCTTCACTTTCAGATGCAGGGATTTGTTGTAGACCCTGTGAGATCTTGTTTAGGCTCCAAATTCTGATCTGTATCCCCTCATCTGGGCCTCAGAGATAGGTCCTTATCAGCAAACATTCTTCCTGATCACAGGGCAGGGGAAAATAAAGAACAAATGTTCATTGCAGCAAAGGCAACAATGGTACACATGCCACTAATCTAAAGTTCTAGCATTGCTTCAATATTTAATAACATTTTCAGCTATACCTGGACAGCAGCAGGAGCTGCAAACTAACCACTAACATTGACAGACATGCTCATGGTTTTACGTTTCTCTTTTAAAATACAGGCACTTGGATGTGGGTGTGTGGGACAGGCTGTCCTTAGCCGAGGAACCCATGGTGGGCCCATGACAGTATCAGTTGGATTTGCAATGGCAGTCACCATAGCAGTGTATGTGTCTGGGGGCGTTTCTGGTAAGTGACTTTTTTTGGGTCTTATATAGCATTTATTGCCAAAGGCTTAAGGCTATCTTTTTAAATTACTTCCATTTCACTATATAAGCAATTATGTATCTAGCAATAACAAGCACCCTTATACCAGACTCAGCATCAGTGTTTCAGTAGCAAAATTCCGTGTTTTTCTGGTTTCCTTCTATTCCTTGTGTTTTACAAATTCTTCTACCAAACTCTGAACATATACAAACTTCAGCAGACCTCTGGCCTTTATGGAAAGTGATCTGTGCAAACCAGAAATCTGCTTGCTCTGGCTTTGGAAAATTCTGTCAATAGAGATGATCCTGGACAGCACAGGCATGGCATTAAGGAAACAGCCATGAAAAGCTTACAGAATCCAGCAGTCACCAGCTACAATGGTTGCCAGTTTGGTAGAAGGCAGAATGACATACTAACGGGTATAATAAGCAGGGTTTATCTTACAAAGTACAATTTATTTCTCCTTGTCCCATCACAGGTAAGTCTGCTTCGTCCCTTTGCTTATTTGCGAAAGATCACAGAAAGCAGAAACAGCAAAAAGATGCAGTACTAGAGATACATTCTGTTACACACTGTTACTGTAATTGCCCCTTTGTTTCTGCTATAACATTTCCTCACTATATATTGGTCAGGAATCTCTCTTTTCTCCGTAGCTGGGCTAATTAATCAGTGTCTATGTATGCCACATTGGATGGTGCTTTGTCTCCTATTTCTACCATTCAGTTTGGCTAAATTAATATCAGGAACATTAACATAACTGCTTTTAACATTTAAATTCTCCCTTTAAAATAGGAAATGATGAGTTGTAATAATACACACACTTGTGTATTATAATACACAATACTCCATGTTACACATGGAGTTTTTATTGCACTCTTAAAGCCAGTGGTGTCTTCGTACTCCAGTTCTCACAGAGGAATTTCTTACCATTCATGAAAAGGGTAAAGTGATTTGGGCAGATATCTTCAGGTATAACAAGGCTACTATAAATAGTTGCTATAACAGAAGTTACTGGGGCCATTTCTCTTCCCTTTTACAAATTCTTTTACAGAGACACCATGCATAAGGATGTTTCTGACTTCACATTAGAAAGTGCTCAAGGTACTGCAAAACAGGCAGTCTTGTTACTGTCATTGAAACAGAGCAGAACGGTTCCTTAATACCACACAAAGTTAATTCAGTAGTACATTCCCATTATCTGATCAACTTTAAACTACAGCTCTTGGTTTATACGTAGGCAGGTAAACTTGTCTAATGCAATATCAGGGAAAAAAAACCAACCTGTAAAGACACTAACCTGTCCTGCATTTCTATCTGTAAGGGACATTCATCTCTATATTCATGATGTAGACAATTAGAGTTCAATCCCAGCAGGGCAGAACAGTTGCAGATGTTGCAGTATTGTGCTTCCTGTGTTTTTCCCATGACAAAGGATTCTGCATGCAGTGCATTTTCTCTGTGAAAGAATAGGAACAGATATTTCAGCAGGCTATGACTATCTAACATCTGATTACTAGTGGACAGTTCAGAATATCAGTTCCTGTATAGAATTTGTTAGCAAATTCTGTGGCACTTCGGCCATGAAGTCTCATGTTTAAGTACTGCTAAAATATTTTGCATCCATTCTTTATGAAGTTCTAAATTCAAGGTAACGTAAAATATATAGTCAGCACATGTGGTGAATTTGAACTCCTTTACCTAGGAAAATTCCCTTTTTTGCTTTTCCTCCATCTATTTTTCCTCAATGTCTAGGTAATTTCCCACCATTTTTTCCAACTTAGCATTTCAAAAAAATTCATGACTATCATCACTGCAACTACAAAAGAATGGGGAACACACTTTCCAAAGCAGGCCTTTTTTTTTTTTTTTTAAACTAGGAAACTACCAGTGGCACAGAAACCAAGAATCTTTTAACTCCCCTATGTCAGCAGGAGAGCCTTCAACTAGACTTTTTCTTTCCAGATTTAATGTTAATCAGACATCTTTAATATTATTATGACTTGTCCTGGCCATCATAATCCCTCTGTATGATATACAGGTGGGGAACAATATCACGTGTTGAAAGAAAGGAAGATTATTCATTCTAATCAGAGTAAAGAACAAAAGACAAGACAACAATTTATCAAAATTCACATGAAGGGCTGTTAAATAAGGTGCCATCCATCTATTTGCTCTGTGCTGAAGAATTCAAAATTAATTCAAGACCTGTGCTACTAGGTCAGAGTTTTGGAAATGATACAAAGAAGGTTTTATCCAGCTTGTTATCTGTGTTTGTCAGTTCATTATGTATCAAAGGTGCCCGGATTTCATAAGATAATGACTCACTGACCTGAAGTGCAAGCAAACACAGAAACTGTACATAGAGGCCCTTTCTCCATGACTAGACTTTGACAGACAAAGGTCATGATCTTTTAGTTATTTTACTAAGACAAAGGCCATTTTTTCTGATAACTATACAGGCTGAAACGAGACTTTACCTAAAAGGTAAGCAATAGATGTTTATTACATCCTTGCAAAACTTGGGTTTTACTGTACTTTTACTGTGGAGTATGTTTCATCAGTTTATTTATTTGGCAATTTGTATTTCTTAAGTATCAACTACATATTTGTAAAAAAATGAAGTTTTCCAAAAACATTCAACACTTTTCCATGTTGATAAAAGATGTTGAGGGAAGTGACTAGTATGTGACATAATAATAAATACATTTTAGAAAGTAAAATTGTCACAAAGAATTTCAACATTGCTAAAATCTTTTTCCATGTGTGACTTTAGATGTAGCTACTCTGAAATACAAAGGAAGGAAATTCCATAGGAAATAGAACTATCTGTTTCAGCACAGCTACTTTGTTTCCTTATTACAGACCTTTCTGGAAGGTGCAAGAACTTGATGAAAACGTGTCATGAACTACGCACTGCTGTCCCCAGATCCCATCTGGGCACAGCTCACCCGCAGTCAGCTTGAAGCTGGACAGCCCTAACATTATTGTATTTTATGTTCCGGAAAACCAAGTTCCTAAGTAACCCCAGGTTGAAGACTGTGACATAAACATGACTTAATTCCAGCGTACTCCACATCTGCCTCAAGATATATGATCAAGCCAGTAACAGTCCTTAATCTTAATACATGCTTGCTAAACTGAATGAATGTTCTGCTGCCCCAGTCCTCCCTGAAATATAAAAAGTTAAACCCCTTGAGGAAAGAGAATATGTGCAGAACGATGGACCCTCTCATCACAACCAACAGGACAGGTTTAGGCTTTTTCCTAGAAAGTTATCTATAGACTATATACTGCAGGACAGCAGTCTGATAAAATCACAGTCTGCAAACACCAAGAAGGAAGCTGGATCTTAGTGGATGCTGGCTTTTTTTTCACATCCTCTTCTAATTTCATCCAACTTGTTTAATTGCAGTCAGCATGTAATTGCTAAATAACATCTAGAAAAGCATGTACTAGTCTCATGCTCAAATGCGCCCGTATTTTTACAAATCCTTCACCTTTCTTCATGTATCTGAGTTATCCATATGACTTATTTTGTGATTTATTTTTCAGGTGGTCACATAAATCCAGCCGTTTCATTAGCCATGTGCGTGACTGGAAGATTAAAATGGACCAAATTGCCAATTTACATATTAGCACAACTCCTGGGAGCATTTGTTGGAGCAGCGGCTGTCTTTGGGATTTATTACGGTGAGTACACCTTAGACATGCTCACAGGACAAACTAGAGGTCAGGCAGTCTCTAAGGCCTCAATTTTTCAACGAATGCCAAGTAAGCAGAGGACTCCGTTCACACAGTGCTAATGACAGGACTGAAGCTAAAGCCATATAGAAGAAAGGAAGCAACATAAAGAGTATGAAGGAAAAATAAAAGGTTCAAACATTCTAGTTATCCTACAACCTTTCTGAAACACTAATACTCCAGGAAACGTTCTGAAATTTAGAAAAATTATTCATGGGAAATCAGATACTCTGAGATCATGTATTTCTCAGTAAGGATTTTAAATTACTTAATAGCCAGGATATAGGGCTATTCATCTTCCAAGCAAATTAGAAACATTAAAGACCCGATCCAAGTGCCTGTAGGCAACTATCACCAACATTGTTCATTGAGGTTACAGGATATGAGATCAAGTCCCTCCTGACTAAACTTCAGACCACCCTAGAGAGGTAGCTCTCCAAGGCAATGAACTCCAGGTAGAGTGATAAAGGGGCACATATTAGAAGGGAAAAAAACAAAGAATGGGG